ATTATCCAGTGTTCTTTAAAAGTATCCCTTGAAACTGAATTACTAGCATGTCAGAATCTGTAGTCTCCTACAGAAAACTGCAAAAATCACAGGTTGGGATAAAGAGTAGAAGGAAAGGTGTTTGTCTTATTTGTTCCACTTGTTTGCCCCTCACATGCATGTAATAACTACATAATTGTATACCTTGCCAGGAAACAGAACAAGTTGTGAAATTTCTTTCTCTGGTTGTTCTTAGTGACTGGAGCAACATACCTGAAAGGTGGTTTACACCTGAGGGCATCGTCTGATGCAGGATGTTGACAGATATGTGCAGTCCCTCAAGAGTGTTGATTTTATAGTATGTGCTGACTGTTTTCACACATGAGTCTGTCAGCTGTAATAATGCTAAGATTAGCATCTGTTGCATCAGTGAGAGAAGAGGTGGTTTTTGGCTTCTGGCTATTCCATAGTGGTAAGAAGCTTAGTTTTAAAAATAATAATAATAATAATAAGGTACAGAGCAAAGATGAAAAGTGAACCCCATATGTAAGAAGTAGAGCTACATTTCTCACATCAAAGAAATACATGCTTCTGGTTCTACAGGTTTTAATTCCCAACACCTTTGACAGATTCTGAGCAGAACAGACATACTTGATGGCACTCCACTGGAGGGCACTTTGAAATCATGCTGCTCTGCTCTGCCTCCTCCTCTGAACGCAAGAATATCCCTGCCAGATTAGACCAATGGACCATGTAGTCCAGCAGCCTTGTCCCACAGTGGCCAACCAGATGCCTACGAGAACCCTATAAGCAAAGTATGAGTGCAACAATGCTCTTGCCCACTGCTATTTTTCTAGAAAAAGAGGTGCCAAAACTCACCATGAACACCTCTTAGAATGGCAATGGAGCCCACCTGGGAGGTGCTGGAACTGAATTCCAGCTGACAAAAAGGCCCTGCTCTTACCACTAGTGATTTCCAGCAACTGGTATTTAGAGGCAGACCTCCTCTGTCACTGGAGGAAGTATGCAGCCATAATGGCAAGCAGCTATTAAGAGCCTTATCCTCTGTGAATTGGCCTAATTCCCTTTTAAAGGCAGCCATGTCGGTGACTATTTCTCCTTCTTGTCTGATATTCATTTCTAGAAAGAAACGGTTTGGTTAGAGCAGATATACATAGTGACCATCTTACTGTTTTCTGAAGTGTTTCCCTTCCAGATCATGTGCCCAGCATGACTAAGCTGCTTCTGGCGAACCAGAGCAGTGCATGGAAATGCTGTTTACTTTCCTGCCGGAGCGGTACCTATTGATCTACTTGCACTTTGACATGCTTTCAAACTGCTAGGTTGGCAGGAGCAGGGACTGAGCAACAGGAGCTCACCCCACTGCGGGGATTCAAACCACCGACCTTCTGATCGGCAAGTCCTAGGCTCTGTGGTTTAACCCACAACACCACCGACGTCCCTTAATTGGAACTATAGGATGCTACAAAAAGAGGAGCACTGAAAAGGATATACCAAGAGCTCTGGCCACGAGTTTCAATATAAGGAATAATTCCTACTCGAGAGTTGAAAAGAAAAACATGTATATTCTGCTAAGAATAACAGTTTGAAGCTAATAGTAAATTTAAGTACGATAGTTTTAAGGTAATAGTAAATTTAGATACAACGTTTAAGTGCAGAAATAATGTAGTTTCAAATGTGCAGTGATATGGTATAAAGGTACATAAAATACCAGTACACAACAATTGTTTTATACAAGTCTCAATGGCAGTCAAAAAGAGTCCATATTATATAAAATCAGAATAAAGAATAAAGAATCAAATAGGGCCAAAAAGGAGTATCCGGAGTGTGAATCAGATGTATGACTCAGTAGTGGTGACCAGGACAGGGCCCTGTTTCGGAGTAAATGCCTTCTTCAGCTCGATTTTTTGAAGACTATAAATCTGTTGGAAGTCTATATCATTTAATTCTTTATGTTTCTTTTTCGACATGCGTCTTAGATAATTGAATCCAAGTTTTCTTGCGTTGCTGAGTCGTACATCTGATTCTGCACTGCACATTTGAAACTACATTATTTCTGCACTTAAACGTTGTATCTAAATTTACTATTACCTTAAAACTATCGTACTTACACGTTGTGTTTAAATTTACTATTAGCTTCAAACTGTTATTCTTAGCAGAATATACACGTTTTTCTTTTCAACTCTCGAGTAGGAATTATTCCTTATATTGAAACTTGTGGCCAGAGCTCTTGGTATATCCTTTTCAGTGTATTTTCAACAAGAACTCCAATTTCTTTAACAAAAAGAGGAGCCCCATCAGAGAGGACAGTGCTTGAAGGTTATTCATTTATCGTCCTCCCCCCCCAAAAAAATAACCCCAAGTGATTTACAAAATTGACTTAAAACCAGATTCAGTGATAGAATAGAAATAAAGACACACCCATACATATATTCTCTTCCACTAAAAGAGGCCATATTCACTCAAAAACTTCTAAATTAAGGGCTGAAGACCTGGGTTAAAATAAAAGTTATGGCAGGTAAGCAGGGCCAGCTCAGCTGTTAGGCAAGGTGAGATTCCTTGCCGGCACCGCTGCCTCCGCCAGCAGCACAGAAGCATCAACACTGGTGTTGATTTGGAGTAAGATCTCACCCAAAATCAGTACAATATTGTCACAGATCAGTGCTGATGGCGGTGGTAGATGAGGCAGGGTGTGTGGCAGCAGCAGAGTGGGCAGGGGAGGCAGCGGCAGATATGGTGGTGGCTGGAGCAGCCACAATGGCAGGGCAGGGCAGCATTTCCCATCTCACCTCAAGCAGCAAAACAGGATGCACCGACCCTGCAGATAAGGTGGGGGAGGCTTAATGAAATGTTGAAACTCCACTCCTTGACTTCTGACATTTGAAGCATGCCCTCTCTGCAATTTTCTTAAAAACTGTTCCAGTGATGAGCATGCCACAAAAGGTAAGGGTGATGGTGGCCATTCACTCACCCAAATAATTTGAGCGCTGGTAGAATTTCACCTAAAATGTTGCTTTTCACCTAAAGCAAAAGTTAGAATTAATTTGAGGGTCACTCTGCAGGTGACTCATTCAAAAATTTGGAAGAAAGCTTTCAAGGACTGGCAAATTTGCTCAGGGGAAATGGTTGCACATCTGCATCTCAAAGTGAATCAATCCAATCGACTTGAGCAAGAAAGCCAAGCCATGGCTTGCAAGGAAAGGCTGGATGTTGCAATCTGCTCTGGTCATCAGTAAGATCCTGAGAGGAAGCAGAACTCACTCATAATGCCACCTAGCAATAATATTGGGTGCAACATCACAACAGCAACCAACATCCTCACTTCCATTTGACTCACGTCTAGCAGCAGTTTGGAGCTCTCCTGCTCACAAAGGCTTCATCATTAATGCCGCGTGAAAGAGCAGCTCTGAGAGCAATGGTGTACATACACAGTTGCCCTCTCCATGAATGGGCATGAATGGGCAAGCCCACACTTAGAGGAGTTATATGTGTATGTGGGGTTCTGGATGAGGGTACTTATTACTAGTTACATCCCAATTTATTAGAAGAGCCAGGGGGATACTTACAGATTACATTTATTTCCCACCTTCCACCCATCATGTATAATGATCTCTGGCAGGCAAGCAAGTCCCAATAAGAAGCAATGACTTTCCGGCAGTTTTATGTACGTTTATTTACAAAACAAAACACCAAAACCCACATTTAGAGCATGGCTTCTCGCCTGCTCGCATTGACGATAGTTGGTCAGTCTGAATCTTCACCCCTCCCACGGCAGGAAGGACGCCAATCTCCTGCCTTTCCCCTCTTGTCCTTCTGTTGCCCTCTGATCTTATCCAGTCTCCTTGAACGGGGCCTGAGAAGCTGGCCTCCACCCTCCCCACTTCCACTTGACACAGTCTCAGACCTCTGGTTATTGCCTAGCAATGCTCTGGCTGCCTTCGAACTCTTCCTCTTCTTGAGAGCTAACAGAGTCTTCCCTGGGAAGGGGAGTCAAACTCCCCTTTCTCGACTCTGTCAGCCAGCTCTCATCTGCAGAGTTGGTCCCTTGTACACTAACTTCAATCTCTGAGTCTGACTCTTCCCCTGCGCTCTGGGGGCCAATGTTCCTGACATAATTGGAAGATGCTGCATGTGGGATACTTAAGTGGTTTCCCATCCAGGCACATACCAGATGCCCAGACCAGCTTAGTTTCAGTAAGGTGGCAGCCCCAATTGTCTTCACGTGTGATTGTAATTCATTTTTATCACATTTCTAACCTACCATTCCCCAGGGTAGTTCTCTTAGTTCTCTCCCTTATATGTTGCTTATGGCAACCCTGTGATGGTCAGTTAGACTGAAAGACGGTGACTCAAACATCTTGGTTAATTTGTATTTGGGTGGTAGCAACTCTAACAGAATGGTGTCATGTCAGAACAGGTCATGCTACCTGTTAAGAATATTACAACTGAGAGGTGTCTAAATGTAACTAAGCAATTGGGCATCACATAATTTTTATACTCTTATTAAATTGGGAGCCATGGGATGTAGCCCTTATAGCAAGCCACCTAGCAAGGCTGTTCCAGCAAGTTAGTATTGGAATTACCAAACCTAGAATAAATTTGCTAAACTATAATTAATTCAGAGAGTTCCTAAAATGCATAATTTCTTGTGCAGCAGCTTTGCAAATGAAGCATTTATATAGATCCCCCTTAGCATTTCGCTGGGGAATTTATGTTTACTTTGCTGTTTTGCAATGGTGTTTTAACTGCTGGCAGGCAAAAACCAAACCCAAAGGAAGGCCTCATATTACTTTTTTTCTGAATTAACCAAGCCTATATATTGCAAACAGATATAAAGCAGAAGCTTAAGAGTGTCATATTAGAGGGGACCCTTTCTTGCTTTTCTGCTGCACCGACATTGTCTTACACGGCTTGAGCATGAGCCGACAACTATACATGGCAAACTCCATCCATGGAAGAAGAAGGTTCTCTTCTGCCTCTGACATATGTGGTCTAAGCAGATGTAGACTGAGTGCATCCTCTATATCCCAGCCTGGTGGAAGAAGTGGAATTGGTGGCTATAGCACCAGGAGTCTCTCAACTATAGGTGGAATCAGAAGAATTTCTTGCGTTGGAGGCTACCAGATTGGGGGCTATGGAGGTCTTGGCGCTGGACATCACATTACCTATGGTGGTCAGAGCTATTGTGGCATTCCAAGAAGCTATGTTGAGCTCAGAAATTATGCTGGCAGTGGTCAAAATGACCATTTCCATGAAGTCAGCATCAACGAACGCCTCCTAAAACCACTCTGTATAGGAGTTGACCCTGAGATCCAGAAAATACGCACTAAAGAGAAGGAACAGATGAAATCTCTCAACAACCAGTTTGCTTGCTTCATTGATCAGGTCAGAGTATGAATGACTAGTCATTCATTCAATCATTCACTCATTCACTCATGAAGTAGGAAGTGGCAAATGAGGTTTCTTTCTATGGGGCAGTAGCGGGTAGATGACCCAATGCAACATGTGGTGGGAGGATTAAGTTCAAGAGCAGCTGCTTGGTATGTGTTCAGATACCACAAAGTTTGCACATGAGAGAAATGCTTCGAAAATTTTGATCTGAAGCAATTTTATGCCAGAGCTCTTTGAGGTATGGTGTGTGTATATGGGGAAGGGGACAGGGGTCTGCTATTTTTCCTCACTTCAGTATTTATTCATTTTGATACAGAATGACTGCAAGATTCAGCTACGAATAGTGTAGTTGCATATTAGTTGTCAACTTTTATCATGTCAAATGTTGAATAAATGCCAAATATCCTGAATGCTAATGTACCATGTGCACCAAAGTGAACAAAGTCTAAAATAAAACTGACCATACTGCATTTTAAAAAGTAAATTGTGTTCATAATTTTTTCTAAAAAAATATAAGTGTGGCAACTGATCCCTTTTAGAAAATCCTGAAGTAGAATTCTTGCAGTATTTTGCTGATGTTGGGTTGGTGCTATTGTTACAGTAGACTCTACCATTGTCAAATGTGGTGAAGCCATGAGTAATTTTGCTAATCGTGAAAAAGGTCTTTTCTTTTACCTCCAATTCCTGCAGACTGATTCCTTGAAATGGTCAGGACTGTCCCAGTTCACCATAATATGTAATCTGGCGGACACCGCAGGTGTAGAAGTCAAAAGAAAATGTCCTGTGTGAATTATTTAGACAGTTGATGGAATTCCACACAATGATGGGAAGTTCAAAAGTGCAAGCATTAGATGATAAAGGTAAAGGTAAAGGTACCCCTGCCCGTACGGGCCAGTCTTGACAGACTCTGGGGTTGTGCGCCCAACTCACTCAAGAGGCCGGGGGCCAGCGCTGTCCGGAGACACTTCCGGGTCACGTGGCCAGCGTGACAAAGCTGCATCTGGCAAGCCAGCGCAGCACACGGAACACCGTTTACCTTCCCGCTGGTAAGCGGTCCCTATTTATCTACTTGCAACCAGGGGTGCTTTCGAACTGCTAGGTTGGCAGGCGCTGGGACCGAGCAGCGGGAGCGCACCCCGCCGCGGGGATTCGAACCGCCGACCTTTCGATCGGCAAGCCCTAGGTGCTGAGGCTTTTACCCACAGCGCCACCCGCGTCCCATCATTAGATGATAGATAGATATAGATAGATATAGATAGATAGATGATAGATGATAGATGATAGATGATAGATAGATAGATAGATGATAGATAGATAGATATAGATAGATAGATGATAGATGATAGATAGATAGATAGATAGATAGATGATAGATAGAGATAGATGATAGATGATAGATAGATAGATAGATAGATAGATAGATAGATATAGATAGATGATAGATGATAGATAGATAGATAGATAGATAGATAGATAGATAGATAGATAGATAGATAGATGATAGAATAATAAAGTGGCTACTATGTTAAGGCATGATATGGGGAGTGAGTGTGGATATGGGGGGGGGGATTCAGTTCAATTCACCCATGAAAAGTGAGTCTGCCTAATTTGCACTTTCCAATGTAAACAGCGAACCAGAACACAGCCACCCTTTGAAAGTTGTATTCCTTCAAATTTTGCAGTGCCGTTCTCCAGCCATGTGTACAAAAATGCACATTCTGGGTTAAGTATTGCATGCATTAGTGAAAATAGCATACAAAATGCATTGCATTAGGGAAAACCACTGCTGAAATGTGTAGCTTAGGCAAAATTGCATACAAAATGTGCATATTAGGATACCTTTACACTAAAATGCAGGCAGATTTTCTTGAGGACTCCCCTCCAATGCAAACTGATCACAGATATGGAGAATTGACTTAACATTGGAAAAAGGAGAAACAGAGAAGTTGAAATTGTCAGATTCACCCATCCTTTGGGTTGACAAAGCTGGAGAGCTGGATATAATCTCCACACTGTTCTTATAGATTTTCAGCTGTAAGCCTTTGTACAATGTCACAACATGCATTATTGTAAGCAGCTATGCCACTGCAATTAATTTTCAAAGTACACATGCTGTGCACATCTATAAGAGCAATGTGGCAAATAATATGCGGGAGAGAGAGAAAAGGTAAAAAGAAAAGAGCTGTGTATAGGGGTAAATAGATGGGTGTCTATATTTAAAGACAGGTGCAACACACTATTCTGACAATATTAAAGAAGGAGTGTCATCCTTTGACCCACAAGTCTTTCTGAGACTGTTGCACTAACTGTACCAATAATCATAGAACTGTAGATTTCGAAGAGACCACAAGGGTCATCTGGTCCAACCTCTTTCAATGTAGGAAATAAAGCTAAAGAATCCCAGCCTCTGTTGAAAAGCCTTCAGTGGAGGAGAGTCCACCATAAATAAATCTATTCATTTTCTGAGAAATTTACAAAACTCGTGTGGGTGGGTGTATTGACGGATGGTGGGAGGATGGATGTTACATAGACAGATAGATCAGGCATAGGCAAACTCGGCCCTCCAGATGTTTTGGGACTACAATTCCCACCATCCCTAGCTAACAGGACCAGTGGTCAGGGATGATGGGAGTTGTAGTCCCAAAACATCTGGAGGGCCGAGTTTGCCTGTGCCTGAGATAGATACAGCTTTTCTTAAGTGCTGCAGCTGAGGCTGAAATAGAATGACTTGCCAAAGGCAACCCATTCATAATCCATGACAATATAGGAACTGGAGTATTTTACCTCAGCATGCTCTTGACAACACAACTATGCCACTTGAATTTAGTGTCTTTCTTGTCTTTAATTAACGCTTATAAAGATATTCTTCTAAAGGTTCCTCTATTTCATACTTTTACATTTGATTTTATGTTGCTTTTAGGTTCTATGGGCAGACATTTTTTCAGTGGTGACCTTGCTGTGGAAGGGTGACTGCTGCATTTTGTCATGGACATCATTTTTATTTAGTATGCTTGCTGAAACAAAATAATGTCTTTAGCAGGTGCCGAAATGCCAACAGTAGAGACACCTGCCTGCCATTCAACAGAGGGAGTTCCAAAAGTAAGGTGTCGCCACAGTTCTGACACCATGCAGAAGGGATCTCCTGACAGATGCCCTCTTCTGCAAGATGTCCTGCAAGAATACATTGATGTGCGATTAACTGTTACCCACAGTGCAATTTGGAAGACTAATGCAAAATAACTGTGTGTGGCTTATCCCTCTCCCCTACAATCCCTACTTCCATTCCCTTGCACTTCAGATTTTCCCTTCTTTGATTTCAGGTCCGATGTCTAGAGCAGAAGAACAAGGTGTTGGTGACCAAATGGAACGTCCTGCAAGAGCAGATGCCACCTGCTAGGATAGATCTCGATTCCCTCTTTGCAAGATGCATCTGCGGCCTACGCAAGCAGCTGGAGTTCTTGCAGAATGAAAAGGAGCAAATGGAACCGCAGCTGCAGAACATACAGCAGATCGTAGAGGAGCTTAAATGCAGGTAGGCATTGGCAATGCACGGCCATGTGCTGGTGAAGTTCCATTGTGTCAAAGGAGCCACTTTGGTTTAAGTTTACTTAAGCATACTTGCACGGACATGGGTGGCGCTGTGGGTTAAACCACAGAGCCTAGGACTTGCTGATCAGAAGGTTGGCGGTTCAAAAACCTGCGATGGGGTGAGCTCCCATTGCTCGGTCCCAGCTCCTGCCAACCTAGCAGTTCGAAAGCATGTCAAAGTGCAGGTAGATAAATAGGTACCACTCTGGTGGGAAGGTAAACGGAGTTTCCGAGTGCTGCTCTGGCTCGCCGGAAGTGGCTTAGTCATGCTGGCCACATGACCCAGAAGCTGTAGGCCGGCTCCCTTGGCCAATAAAGCGAGATGAGCGCCGCAACCCCAGAGTTGGCCACGACTGGACCAAATGGTCAGGGGTCCCTTTACCTTTAAGAATACTTGCAGAAGAGAAAGAACAATCTATTTGTCTTTTATATTTTACTTACATTGGATCAGCATAGATGCAGAAATAGGGATGCTGTGTAAATTTGATCCTTGTGAACTCTGCGCTGAAATGTTTTCTCTAAATCCGTGTGATTTAAAATTGTTGCAAGTTGTTAACAAGTCCATTGTACTTAACAAGTACGATGGAAAAGTCCCATAGCAGTGACTGTGATGATAAGAAGGGGTTAAGATAATAATAATAATAATAATAATAATAATAATAATAACAACAACAACAATAATTTATTATTTATAGCCCGCCCATCTGGCTGAGTTTCCCCAGCCACTCTGGGCGGTTCCCAATCAGTGTTAAAAACAGTACAGCGTTACATATTAAAAACTTCCCTGAACAGGGCTGCCTTAAGATGTCTTAACTACGATATTGGGAATAAACAACAGGGAAAACGCAGGAACAAAAACAAAAGATTTTCTCCGGATCAGCCAGAACATATGAAGTCCCATTAAATTATTTAATTCGGAATATATAATTGGCTTTTTTTGGGTGGGGCATGATGTGGCATGATTTTATATGTTATTAATTGGAATGTTATTAATGAAAAATTAATAAAAATAAAATTGTTGTATGTTGGTCTAGCTGCTAGAAGGGGTAGGATGAAAGGATGAGAGAGAAATAAATCTCTACATAAATAAAAAATAAAATAAAATGCAGTAACACAGTTTCCTACTCTTTACAGATATAAATATGTAGACAGGGTGTTCCCTTGTAAGCATAGCAATTTACAATATTTCATTATTGCAAGTTTATTAAACTAATGGGCAGGGTTCACCTAACTAACCCTGTCTCTATGGGGGTGGGCAGATCAGTCTGCGTCCATTTCCATTCGACTTCACATTTGTTTACCCATCAATACACCCTGTTGTATTCTAAGGTTAACTAATCGTCAAGGTTTTTGGTTGTTGTTTTTTTAAAAAAAGCTTCTTTCAAAAATGGATTCTTATACATAATTCAGCACAACGGATATTGTAAGTTTTAAACACATTGTGCATTTGCTTTTGTCTACATGCATTCCAGAAATCAGGCTTCCACTTGGCTTGGTTTGGTTTAGCTTTTATGCGCTTGTCTCATGAAGTTCTGTTTTGATATTTGAGCTATATAGATTAACAAAAAAAAAAACCTTTTTAAAAATAAGGATTCCAAAGCATGTAGGAGGGACGCAGGTGGCGCTGTGGGTTAAACCACAGAGCCTAGGACTTGCTGATCAGAAGGTCGGTGGTTTGAATCCCCGCGACAGGGTGAGCTCCCGTTGCTCGGTCCCTGCTCCTGCCAACCTAGCAGTTCGAAAGCACATCAAAGTGCTTAAAGCATGTAGGAGACTCCACAAGGACAGGAGCTTTCCCCACTGCACACACAAACATCTTGGGACATGTGGGGTGGTGGAGTTAGCACACTCACACATACTTTCCCCTTTCCCCATGGCTATCCTTTCACTTGCTCCCTCCCCATCTATTGCAGTGAGCAAGACCCCAGATGTGTCATGCACATAGGATGCAGTTGTCTGCCCCTGTTGTTGTTTAGTCATTTAGTCATGTCCAACTCTTCATGACCCCATGGACCAGAGCACACCAGGCACTCCTGTCTTCCACTGCCTCCCGCAGTTTGGTCAAACTCATGCTGGTAGCTTCGAGAACACTGTCCAACCATCTCGTCCTCTGTCGTCCCCTTCTCCTTGTGCCCTCAATCTTTCCCAACATCAGGGTCTTTTCCAGGGAGTCTTCTCTTCTCATGAGGTAGCCAAAGTATTGGAGCCTCAGCTTCAGGATCTGTCCTTCTAGTGAGCACTCAGGGCTGATTTCCTTCAGAATGGATAGGTTTGGTCTTCTTAAAGGTAAAGGTAAAGGTACCCCTGCCCGTACGGGCCAGTTTTGACAGACTCTAGGGTTGTGCGCTCATCTCACTCTATAGGCCGGGAGCCAGCGCTGTCCGCAGACACTTCTGGGTCACGTGGCCAGCGTGACGAAGCTGCTCCGGCGAACCGGCACCAGAGCAGCACACGGAATGCCGTTTACCTTCCCCTATAAACCGGTACCTATTTATCTACTTGCACTTAATTGTGCTTTTGAACAGCTAGGTGGGCAGGAGCTGGGACCGAATGACGGGAGCTCACCCCGCCGCGGGGATTCGAACCGCCGACCATGCGATTGGCAAGTCCTAGGCGCTGAGGTTTTACCCACAGCGCCACCCGCATCCCTTGATCTTCTTACTTCCATGTAATTCAGTCTGTGCACATCAGAAGATTTGCAAGTCTTTTGGGGTTCCGCTGTTGAACACCCAAGTCATGGCATGCCCTCTTTCTCTGCTGTCTCCAAACAGGTACGAGGAGGAAATCAACCGGCGCACGGCTGTAGAGAATGATTTTGTTCTGCTTAAGAAGGTCAGAAATTCAGGTTGCTGTAGGGCGATTTGTGCTGTCATTTCATAAAAGAGAGTCTGTGCATACTTTTAACCTCAGTTGATGCTCAAAGACGGCACAGGCAGAGGTACATCAAAATCTGTATTTGCATTCATCTGTGCTCATGCAGCATGCAAATTCTCTTTTCTTTTCATAGGAGAAAAACACATCATTTCCCTCTGCCTGCCTTAGAGGAATAATCAAAATCATAAATGGGTTAGAACCTCCACTTCATCCATAAGCCTGCACTGATTAATTTTTTAAAAAATCTCCCTTGGCTGGGGGTACCACGGTGTGATTCAATTAATCTGTGGGTGCTTCCAGAGTGACTCACTATTTTCAGGTGGGATTCAGCCACACATTGGCAAATTCTGGTTGCACAGTTGAACAGTCAACATTGTCTAATCTCCCTGAAAACGTATCAGGATAAATGCTTAATAAACAAGTTGTCTGGAAGAACTGTATGTTAAGCAGTTTTTTTTAATGTATTTTTATTTGTAAAAAAATTTCTTGGTTTAATATGAGCAGTGTCTCTCTTTTTTTCCCCTTTTCCAAGTAAAATTTTTTCAGATCAGTTTCATTTGTTGGGACATTAGTGTTGCATTAGGAAGAAAAGGGGGGAAGAGGTGGAGGGGGGAGAGGCAAGTGGGGTTGGGATTGGGTGGTGATGTTTCTATTTTACTTACCATAATATAAGTGTGGGGTTTTGTGCCAGTGTCACTTGTGCAGGTTCTCTGCTATTTGCTTGTGTTCCTTTGGTGGTGTGAGAAGTTGCGGGAGGCCTAGGGTGTGGTTTTTCATTTGTGATTGGCTGTGGTGAGCTTTGTTTTCATGTGTGAGTGGGGTAGGTGGGTGTTTTGGATCACGTTAGCCATATTGATTTGTATGCTGTTGGTGGATTCTTGTCTTTGTCTTGTTGAGCTGTGTATGTGATAAAGGGGAGCCATACTGGGGTGAAGGAGTCGTCTTCTATTTGTCTCTGTGTCAGTTTCAGTTTATTTTGCATGCATCACATTTCTTTCTTTCTTTCTTTCTCTCTCTCTCTCTCTCTCTCTCTCTCTCTCTCTCTCTCTCTCTCTCTCTCTGATGTAGCCAAAGCTCATAAGGTGTGAGCTGTGTGTTGGGGGTGGGGATAGTTTTGATGTAAAAACTTCCCCACTTATTTCCATTATAATTTTGAACTGAACTCAGAACTGTATGAAGTTCAAACATTACCTCATAACTGACCCAACCCCAACCCCAGTCTTCCTCTTTTCTGCAGATACCTTCTGATCCTTTCTGCTGCCGTTGTCTCAGTGGTGGCAGGAGCAATAATGACTGCTGCTGGTGCCTTCAGGGGGCAGTAACAGCACCCCTGGATATGAGAACATCTGGGACTCATCATTTAACCATTACAATTCTCAGGAGTCATGGGATTTTGAGGCAAATCTCCAGCATACATTACTTCCCCCCAATAATATTGCGGGCAGTAGATACCTCCGCACAGCACCATTAACAGGAGCTCATGAGCATTAAATGTGTGCATTGGATGTGTAGTTCAAGTACATGGCATGGATACGCCAGTGTTTCATTTCTCAGTAAATGAATCAACTGCTCTGCATTTTGTTTAGACAGCTGAGGTCACAGAGCCACTGGGAAGCTTAGGGCATCTCTGAACCTTATTAAAAGCACAGTCCAACTCAGAAATCTGAGAACCTTCCCTGAACCACCCCAATTCACCTTGTAAATCAGGGTAGATATACAGCCCATGCACACCCCAAGAGATACCAACGAGTATCAATAACTTCTTTGACTCTGTTTGAGCCAAAAGCATCTGAAGGTTTCCTGTGTCCACTTTGCAGGATGTAGATTGTGCTTTCTTGAACAAGGTGGAGCTGGAAGCCAAGGTGGACACAATGAAGAGGGAGGCTGAATTCCTGAGGTGTGTACATAAGGAGGTAAGAAATCCTAAATGAGTTTTGATGGGTGCAGTAATGGAATACTGATTGGTATAGTTTTTGTAAAATATGCAGGGATTTATGATATGTAAAATGAACCATGGAAAGAGAAGAAGGGAAGTCATTGATATCTTAAGGATGTAAAATGAGTATTTTAAATTGTAAAACAGACTTTTTTTTATTCATTCAGACATTCTAATTGGTGTCGTTATCCCCTGTGTTTGATTTTATGTTGCTCTCTCTAATATGCTATTGATTTTATTGGGTTTTTGTTATAATAGTTTTGCTATTGTGTTTTGTATTTTGTATTTTTGAAAGGGGGGGTTAATAAATGCTCAAAATAAACAAATAAATCTCCAAACCAAGCTTAAGCATTTATAACACAGATATCAGTAAATTATTTTCTTAACTGTTCGGGAGTGTGAAGAATGGAGAACGCTTACTGGATATTCATACTTTAGGAGGTTGCTCTGCTGGAAAATCAGATTCAGTGTCAGGCTTCAGTCATGGTGCAGATGGATAACAATCGAGATCTGGACATGAACGCCATCCTCCAGAATGTCGAATCCTGGTATCAGAGCATTGCACGAAGGAGCAAAGAAGAAGTGAATACTTTGTACCGAAGCAGAGTGAGTAATCATACTGATGTCTTGTACGGAAGCCCATAGGGCTCACAATATTGTTACAAAATGCAAAATGAATGAATGAACTTTATTACGGTCACAGACCAGGATTAAAAAGCATATAGATAAAATAGCAGTTAGGATTTTTTGACCGATAATTGTTAGGGCAAATGAGGACAAGGAAACAGGCATAAAACATCCGAATAAAATACAAGATTAAACACAGATAATGGATGGATAAAAAACTAATAATTAAAACAGATAAGAGCTAAAAACCAACAAAGACATGCAGTTAAAACAACCGTAAGAGTATAAGAACTAAAAGACTCGCAGATAAAACAACTATAAGAGGCAAAATGTATTTGTGACTGCAAAGGTTATTACAGGGGTCATTAAACTTTTTCAGCAGGGGTCCACTGTCCCTCAGACCTTGTGGGGGCTGGACTATATATATATATATATATTTGGGGGGAATGAAAGAATTCCTATGCCCCACAAATAACCCAGAGATGCATTTTAAATAAAAGGACACATTCTACTCACGTAAAAACACACTGATTCCTGGACCGTCTGCGGGCCGGATTTAGAAGGCGGTTGGGCCAGCCCCAGCCCCTGGGCCTTAGTTTGTCTACCCATGGGTTATAACAACCATGCAAGACTAGAATGTGTGACAACAAGGAACTTTACTGGAATTGTTCAACTGTTACAATCACTTCTGTTAAGGTCAGCCAGAAGCGGGGATCCTGGTAGCTTCACTGCTCTCAGAAGTTTGGAGATGGTGGAGGCACTCTGGGGGAGGACGTGCTCTGTGGCAGCCCCTAAATTGTGGAATTGCTGCCCCAAAGAGGTGTAATTGGCACCTTCAGTTTGTAGCTTCTTCTTTACCTTGGCCTTTGACAGCTAACATATATGTCGATGGCTGGAGTCCAACAACCGGGGGAGGACACCAAGTTTGTAGTACATGGTTAGTGAATGGAACTACTCAGAAATGGAAACACTCTTCCTGACAGTTCCTGAGGTCCACAATGCACACCAGTGGAATCGGCGATGGCACTGTTTCCTGGAAAACAGCATTACTGTGCTGTGTGTGTGAAATGGATCTTTGCGTGGACAGGCGGAGTCCCCAGATCCCGCGTGGTCCCCCCGTCATGTGGAATAACGACTCAAGACAACGTGCTATGGGATTAAATTGGCCACAACTTTATTAAATTTCAAATGTGGGTAGACCATGGCTCAGGCATTGGGCGTTCTCCCTCCCCAGTTCCCAGCCAGGGACCTAGGGAGCTTCAGGGTTATCCAGTGGGGGGGGGATGGGCCGGCTCTGGAGAACATATGTTCAAGCAGAGATAGCCGCCCCCGTTACGCCGCCACCGCAGGGGAGAGCAATGACGACCTTTCGGCGTACGGTCAAAGCTTCCCTTCAGAAAACCCCTTTAACGGGGAACCCTGGTATTGCCGCCGCAAAGAGGAAGATGGACAAAAGGATTCCGCCCAAGGCCTGATACCGCCAAAGTTGTGACGTTTTGCTACGGGAAAGGCGAAACCTGCCAATGCAGGGAAATTCCTTTCCGGCCCTTTAACAGCGACTTTAACGTAGCAGCGCCCGCATACCTGTGAAGAAAGTTAACCTGCAAAACCTGTGAAGAAAAGTTAACCTGCAAAATAAGACATTAACTGAGGGTGGGTAGGGTAGGAGAAGCTCTGGAGCCAAGTGAGGATTCCCAGGTAAGATCCTCCCTCTATTGTGTGGGCAGGTAATCCCTCCCCTACCTGGCCTGGTCTCCTTGGCAACGCTTCCCCCAGGTGGGATTGGACAACTGGCTGAGGTAGGTGGAGACCTCCAGGTATCCCACCTGAGGGAAGGCAAAGCCAAGCCTATGCTGTTGGAGCTGCTCCAGATCTAGGGGCTGCACGCGTCCACGCAAAGGGCGCCCCCCGTTTTAAGCGGGGAGCGGTCATTAGGTATTAGATGTGAAGTGTCTGTGGAAAACAATTTAATGGCATAATGTTTGTACACCATAGTTACTTATTTTATGAGCATTTAGTACCAGGAACTCCAGGACCAAAGATGCCAAATTAGCAACGATCTAAAGATCAACAAGCGAGAGATTGCAGAGCTCAACCGGATGGTACAGAGGCTGCAGTGTGAACTGGAAAAAAACAAGAAGCAGGTAAACATGGGGAAACAGCTGCTGTCTGGGGTGGGGGTGGGGTGGGGGGATTTGGCACAGCAACCTCTTGTTACCAGAAGGAAGCTATCTCAGCTGTCCTATACATATATTTCCTTTTGTACAAAAACATTTCAATGGAGTAAAAACAGGACAAATGAAGATTTTTGTTTTTTAAGAATCATATCTGAATAGTTGGGCATGGTTTAAAGCCAGCTGCTTGCCCCCAATTCAGAGGATGTAATACATGGATGTGTGTGGTATCGGCTCTATCTCGGTTTGCTACTGATGTCCAGCAACCCAGTAATATATGCAAAACTCATTGCATTGCTTTATAACCGCAGATGCAGCCCTCTAGGCCTCTATATCTTGGAACTCTGCCCAGGCCACACCCCACACCAGCCTTACTTTGCACTCTCCCGGAGTGTTTTTGCCTAGCTGGACTGGGTGTTGCCAGGGGTCGGGGGGTCGGGGTCTTCTTCTGGGCATGCAAAGAATGCAAGACAGTATTAACCTAATTCCCACTACCGTTGAGTAAACATGGCATGCTGGCTGGCTTCCATGGTTCATTCAAATTTAGACTAGGTATGTGGAACACACCCCAGATGTCATTGAACTCCAACTCCCACCATCTCTAGCCAACATGGCAATTGTCAGGGTTGATGGAAGTTGTAGACCAGCAAGATCCAAAAGTCCACAGCTTCTTCCTTCCTTCACTAGAGATACACTGATTTTTAGCAGCATGCTGGAATTTCGAATGTGCATCCTGATATCTTGAAAATTCAAAGTTCTCAGATGACTCTGATGACGACGAGTGGAAATTTGATTTTGAAGGGTGAATGTCAGTTTTCAATGAGCCATTGCCTGAGGGCAAGTAGAATCTCTTGCTTTACCAATTGGCAGGTTGCATGTCTACAGTTGGCCATTTGTGATTCTGAGCAGCGTGGTGACTGCAGCCTTAAAGATGCACAAGAGAAATATGACGATCTATCCAGTTCCTTGCACCGATCTAAAGATGAGTTGGTATGCATGCTGCGCAACTATCAGGAGCTTCTGAATGACAAGCTGGCACTGGATATTGAAATAGCTACATACAAGTCACTGCTGGAGGGAGAAGAAAACAGGTATTCCTTGACTATTTTCCTACAGGATATAGAAAAGTTACTGTCACTGTCTAAGCTGTCTAGTTCAACTGAATACAGGACCAGTTAAAACACGCATAACTGGAACTGCACCACTAATGATGGTGGGCAGGGTAATTACAATATATACCTATATACCTGCATAAGAAAGCAAGTATATTAGGGAAAAGGCTAGCCTAAAACCTTTATCTCAGATATGCTAGTTTCCTGTGTGCAGGATTTTTACAAGCAATTCCACCCCATCCTGGAACCAACCTCTACTAGTAGAATCTGCACATGGTTTCACTACGCCTTTCTTTGCTATTGCGATTGCATATCCTTTATTTGGCTAAAATCCCAGATGCAGGGAATATCCACAGAACCACACATATTTGGCCATATCCCTCAATAATAATCTTCTCTGAGGGAAACCCACCACCAGGCAGTGTCCCCTGTATAAACTTTGGCACATTTTTAGGTCCACATGTCAGATTTATCAAGCATAGATCTTGAATGCAGAACCAGCCCAAGACATGTTGCTGCTCGAGGCAAGGAGAAGAATGAGAACTTTCCCCTTCCAGTTTCATGTACCAAAACCAACTGGACTGGCAACTGAATCTCACTTCAACACGGGTGATGCAATAGCATCCTCCAACACAGGGAGCAGGCTAGGGGATCAGGAGAGGTGATGGAGCAACAGAAGGGAATGGCTGGGTGCTCAAGAAGAATAGCCATGGACTGCTACTACTACCTTTGAGTGTAAAATATAAATGAAACAAACAGGAGATAGAAAGCCTGTATCATATACAGGTACACTCTAAAGATGGCTTGCAGCTCCCTGTTCAGCGTATGTTGGGTGGTTTCTTCAAGTATACCATGGCAGTGGCCCACACAGAGCTTTAAAAAAATAACCGTTATTATTTTGATGAAGTAATACTAATAAATAAATAAGAATCCAATGTGCACCCCACCCATGAGACCATTCCATTGTAACTATCCAACCTCCCAAAATTTCAACACCTCTTGCAATGGTTTGACCCCTTTGACGGTACAAGATCTACAAACACCTTCCATATCTCCTCAAAATCATTTCCCCATCTTACCTTAATAGCACGTGTCAATTTATCATTAATAGTTATATCCCACACCTCTTTATACCATTCTTCCATTTTATATTCACCTTGCCCCTTTCACTTCCTAGCAGTAATAACTTGTGCAACGGTCAATACATTTGTGAGCAAGTCCTTCATGGACTGCTAACCTTCCACCCCATTGTGAATGGATAATAATGCTACTTCTGGACTTTTGGTCAGCTTTAACCCAGGGATTTCTGTTATCTCCTTAAACACCCTTTGCCCAAAAAATTGTGCATATTTACACCCCCACCACATGTGAACCTAATACTGAACCTAATACTGAATATTCCTTTTTATTTGATTTAATCAGACTGGTGTTAAATACCATCTCCACATCTCCAAACTTATAATAATTTTCTTCTAACCTTATAGACAACATTCTCAAAGTGTGTTTTTCCCATATTTTCCCAGCTTTGACTATTTTTCTTTTTTTTAATAAATAAATATTTTTTTTATTAAAATTCCATTTATCAAACCAATCATATCCAATCATATTCCAAATTATATCAATTCAAATCACAAAGTCCAAATGTTAAGCCGAATTTTATTTTTTTTGTGGGGGGGACCCATGCTTCGAGTTCGGCAGAAGTCCAATCTTCTTGTATTTCTGCTGCTTTGATGTTCACAGTCCCATCTTCTCATTTCCTTGTCATTATCCTTTTTCTTCTTAATAACCTCCGAGTTGTCTCCACAAACGAGATAAAAGAAACAGCCTTGTTTATATTTCTGTGTGAACTTTGAAAATGCTTTCCCGTAATTCATCTCACATAAATCCAAAGGTTCAAGAGTCCGTTCAAGCGGCAGTCACCATTTTAGTCAATTCTGATGAAATACAGTCTTGGTGTCCGCTCCTTAATTTTTGCAGACCTTATGCACTATAAATCAGCCTTTCCGGAAGGTTTGTTGCCCTTTCAAATTTACGATCCAACCTGATAACAAAGCAGTGGCTCATCCTCCCTATGACTGGAAATCTTGCAACAAGGTCGGCCCCTTAATGGCGGATCACTTTTGTAACTATGCACAAGAAAGCCTCCATTCTTTCCAGATCTCCCACAGAGTAAAACCTTTTATTAGCATTTTTTTTTCTTTCTACACAGTTTATTTTTCCATTTCATTTTCTGGCTTTGACTATTTTTCTGCCCACACAGGGCTCTTAAATGTGGCAAACCCAACTGCGTTGTGTTATTGTTTGTTCCTTGTTTCTCTTTGTTTAGTGTTTCATGCATCCTGTTCTATTTGCTGTTGCATTTTTGTTTACCGCTTTGATCATTTTCTACAGGGAAAAGTAGTTTATACATTTTGTAAGTGGAGAGGATGATGGATAAATGGGAAAGATAAATAGTTATAAATAGTTATCAGAATATAACCCCTACCTCTATTAGAAAATGCAGTTTCTCACATGATCTATATTACATCTCTTTCCCAAACAGGATATTTTCGGGGAACCTTGCAAGTGTAGGTAAGTAATGGCAAAGTTTACCTGTTGGAATTCCAAAGATTACTCTCTAGATGGGAACATAAGAAGCGGCTTTGCTATGTGCAACGGCATGAGGTGGAAATAAGGTGTTAGGTGTCCTAAAGTGGTAGAAGGCTGAACCACTTTAGACTGCCAAGGGGGAAATTGTCCCTCCAAAACAAACACCAACATTATTTGCAAGTAGAAAGCTAGTACAGCAGGAAGGATATAGGTATTTGATTTTTAATTCAAAACTTGTGATTTGCAATGGTCTATTCCGTGCACTGCTCTGGTTCGCCAGAAGCAACTTAGTCATGCTGGCCACATGACCCAGAAGCTGTCTGCGGACAAACGCCGGCTCCCTTGGCTAGTAAAGCGAGATGAGTGCCGTAATCCGAGTCGTCCGCGACTGGACTTAACTGTCAGTGGTCTTTTACTTTACCTTTTTATTTCATCACCACGTTCTGCTGCATGTACATAGGTTGCCATATGTCCTTTTTTTCCGGGACGTGTCCTCTTTTTCCAGGGTAGAGTAATCATAGCGATCCATAGTTAAAAGTAAAAGGTAAAGGTAAAGGGACCCTAGACCATTAGGTCCAGTCGCGGACAACTCTGAATTGTGGCACTCATCTTGCTTTATTGGCTGAGGGAGCTGGCGTACAGCTTCTGGGTCATGTGGCCAGCATGACTAAGCCGCTTCTGGCGAACCAGAGCAGTGCACGGAAATGCCGTTTACCTTCCCGCCGGAGCGGTACCTATTTATCTACTTGTACTTCATGCTTTCAAACTGCTAGGTTGGCAGGAGCAGGGACCGAGCAACGGGAGCTCACTCCGTCGCAGGGATTTGAACCACCAACCTTCTGATCGGCAGGCCCAAGGCTCTGTGGTTTAACCCACAGCGCTACCCGTGTCCTATAGTTAAAAGTAGAAGTCGGCTAATGTGTCCTCTTTTTTCCTCTTCAAAATATGGCAACCTTATCTCTGCCACAGTGCCATTCTCAACCTCAAACTGACAGCATCTCTCTAAGATTAAGGTAAAGCCCTTCCTAGCCCTTGAGATACCAGAATTTGCATCGGTGGGACGTAATGCATGCAAAACTCAACTGCATAGAGGTGTGAGGCCTCCCCAAATATATATTAGATATCTGGGGAAGTTCCAGTATTGCCATACCCAGCTAACCAAGAATGCTGTTGTCATGCTATTGTAACCATGACTGTGATTACTATTGCAGCAGTGCTTCCTAACCCAGGCAAAGTAGCTGATGACTGTGGCCATGAACCAGCATATGCCTCTCTAAGCAGAGGGCTCAGTGGCAGAAGTGGGAAATATAGTCCTGGTGGCCCAGGGAAGAGACAGAAGTCGAACCTTGGAGATGCAGAGTGCACATCGAGATACACATCGAGAAATGTACCTAACTCTGTGGGTAGGCTGTACATCCCTGGAAGTGAAGATTTCAGCCCAGACGGTGGGTACCACATCACCAGTGGTGGTGGAAACAACCATGCCTCCAGAGCAGCTCAGAGATCCAGAGGTGCTACCTGTGTAACTGGTGGCTGTACCACTGCCCTTGTGGCAGGTAGATGTGTCGGTGGCTACTCCAGTGTTGGTAACTCAGCTGGTGCATGCTGTCACGCACATTCATGCAACCATGGTATGAAAATATCATCATGCTTCAGCAAAAGCAGCAGGATGTGAACACTCAGTTCCCAAGGCTAGGACCAAATTACATAAGAAGAAGAAAAGAAAGAGGCTTCCAATAAGAAATGTATCTTATAAACCACGACACAAGAAATGTTGTTGTTGTTGTTGTTGTTGTTGTTGTTGTTTTTAACTTCCATAGAAATTTCCATGTGCACAGTGGCTCCTTCCTCCTGCAGCAACTCCTGTAATGGAGCCTATGTTGGTCCCATTTCACAGATGAGGAACTGAGGCTGAGAGATAGTCCAAGAGGTAGTTCAGAACAAATTAAGATGTTTGTACTGTGGGTTTAAAATAATTGCTTGACCTTGATTAGAAGTTCTATGATGTTGCAGAAAGGCTGCCATGTGTGAGCTGAGTTTCTGAGTTCAATAGGAACAAAAAATGCTTCACAGGGAATCACATCAATAACCCACCTAGCCCAGGGCTGGCAGCAGTGCTCCAAGGCCACCTTTCCTGGCCTTGTTATTCAAAGTCCCCAAGCTCCATTAGGAATTCCCATGCGTGTGTGGAGATCTCTGCAGTGAATGGCAACATTTTATAAGCCCAGGATGGCCAAATGTTACTCTTCTGGCCTTGGAAACCCCTTAAGGTTTTGCAAACATTCTGTGTTTTGAAGAGTCATGTGAGTATCCACAACGAATGCTTGCAAAGTCCTGGCTTCCTCGTCCCTCCCTTGCTGGTCCTTCAACCTTTTGCAACCAAAGTGGGAGCAAAACACTGTTAAACAGTTGCAAAAAGGGACTCAGCTTACCTGTTGACTTGTCAGCCAGTAGAAATTGAACCGATGCTTCAGGGCA